CCACTAATTACACCATCAACAACAATACAACTGACGGTACCAAAATCCAAAATTTTTGCACGATGTTTCCAATTCTCTACTGAACTAAGTACCGTGGTACTGATTCAGTACTGGCCTCTGGACATTTCCAAAGAGGAAGCGTGGCCTATCTGTCATCTTACAGGTCACTGAAGAGTACGAAGACACAGTGACAGGAGAGGCTCTGATGCGTTTTCAAAAGAGTACTTAAGCATAGAAGCTTTACTGCCTTTATTTCACTGAGATAAGTGACACTGGTACATTTAGCACCAATGGACAAAATCAAAAATGCCAGGGCTTATTCATGGACTATAACTCCCTAAAACCTACGTCATCCAGTTCCAAAAGTCTATTTTAGCTATGTGAAATTCACTTAACACAATAAAAAATTTTGCAAGAAGTAGTAAATTTTCACACAAAAAATATCATTATTATTTATTTAATCCTCTACAGATAAGATGGTTTCAATATTCAGCACTGTCAATGTAAATGAAGGAGAATACCATAGGTAAATAGGTGAGACAATAATGAAATATTATGATACTACACACAGATATACATGGAGAAAAAATACTTCCAAAACCTCATGGCTGGAGTCTTCACCAATATTAGTGAACTGACCAGAAAAGGAATACTGAGTATTGCTTATCTTGACTTCATGAAGGCAAGTTTGATTTACAGAATGAGTCAGTGAGTTAGTGGAAAACTATTAAAACATGCTGAAGATCAGCTAAGGGTCAGGAACACCAGCATAAGATCAAGTTTTTAATTTATCCAGTCATCTGAACTGAACTATAGTCTGACATAAAACTAAATTCTACTCTGTCAAAAGAAGAGCCTTATAAAACAGAAGATAAAAAAGCTCCTTCAAAGAGTCTGTTTGGAATGAAAATGGTAATTTTCTCTTCCTACCTTTTGCTAGGCAAAAAAAGGCCATTTTGCTATTTTGATAGGGGAAAGTTGAAATAATTAATTTGGTTTTGATGTGACTTTGTATCAGGCATGACTTTGATACTACGGTAATTTTTAAGCAAAGTGGATTTGATCAATACCATTTTATTTTATTTCCTTTTTTGAGTAAAAATGAGCTTATTTGGATGGTAACAGTAGTACAGAAAAGTGTGCTCTCACTACAACTAACTTTGTATGTTTATTAATATACAAAACACCTTAAAAAGCAAGGGAAGTAGTCCCCTAAATCTATCCAATACTTTCAAACTGTGTACTATAGGAAACTACTTTTTTCCCTTCTCAGAACATTAAGAATTCACCACAGATTATCAGGGGTGTACCATAACTTCTGCAGGGCTGTTGTGTCCCTTCCAACAGCTGTTTGAGATTTCACTCTCATTTCCTTGGGTACCAGACTTAAAATCTACTGCATGAGAATCACATCTCCTGCCTGTGATACTGCTGCTGATCAGGATTACGACACCTTTTTCAGGCCAAATACATGGCTATGTCATTATTTAGTTAGTTCGGGGTTTTTTTCCCCAGTAAATGCCCTGATCAGTGCGTTGCTCTCACCCATCTTTTAATACATCTTTCCTAATTATTTCATACTCCTTGGGGATCTTACATACTCAGTGCCCTACAAAGACTGCTCTTCCTCTTAAATACCTGATGTTGCAATTTTCTTATAAACTGGCTATGAAGAACAGTGGTGTGAGCTGAGGAGGCCACCAAGCTGAAGACTCAAGGACTAAATTTTGAACAAACCACACTTAAAAATCCCCTTTAATAGCTTCAGCACAAGAAACCCCAGCGTTGCATTAGTGAAAGCAGTATCAATATGCAGAAATTTCAGAGTATTAAAGAATCTTGAGAGCTGGGTAATAAGTGAAACAATTCAGATTACAAGGTCATATGCCTAGAAAGTCGAAACAAGAATTTTGGTTGCATGCTGAAATCATCAGCTGAAAATGTAAAGAAAAACATGCTACTACCTGATTAGAAAATGAACTGAGAGTCATCAGCATGTTGTAATTACAAAGATGGAGATTAATCAGGAAGGGCATTTCCAATATACATACAGAAGACTGCATGCTGCTGAAAAAGTCATTGTAAGACCTCCTGTAAAACAGCAGGTATGGTTCTACCCACTTCTATTTGCAGAAATTAATTTCCCTAAGCAGGCAGAAAAAGGCTATGATGTCAGTCAGGAAATGGAAACCCTATCAATACTAAAAGAGACTAAAAAACATTGTCTGGCTTACTTTCAGGGGGGTGTAAGATGGAACATCAGATAGTGAACATCACAAGGGAGAAGAACTATCAAAGCTGAAAGGCAGCAGTGGTGAAACAACAACTTGGTGTGAATAAATTCAGGCTGAAAAGAGAGTGGTCCCAGGCCCTTCAAAGGGATGAGCTTCAGAAGCAGTGTTCTCATACTTAAACCTGCAACAGGTTTAAGATGGAGCTTGATAATGAATGAGATTATATAATGTTGTTACCTATTATAGAAAAGAATTGAATTTGACACGAGATATCTTACTCTCCTATGTTCCTGTCACTTTTCCCAGTTCCTTGCAGCTAGGGTGCCAAGAAGTTTGCAGACAGAAAGTTGGCAGGAGTCTGTGGATACAATCACCCATACTGGTGCTCTCTTGGAAAGAAGCACTACATACGTGGGGTTCAACCCAGGCCACCCAAGACGAACTGGCAGCAAAGGCTTCCTCGTGCCACCCTGCCTGACTGAGTCAAGTCTGGTTGCAGAAAGCCAGCACTGAGCAGCAGCTCAGGCCCCATGCTTGCTCATCAGACTTTGCTAGCTGTGGTGACAGTGGCACAGAGTTGCATTTTTGGATATGAGCACTGCTTAATGAAGGCTCTTGGCCATGAGCAGTAAATCTACTTGGATTTTACTTGCAGACTTGAAGATAACACTGGACTGCAAATTGCCTGTGATTTTCTTATGCTGTTCTTTTCTACTTACTATCCTCTTTCAGGGATAAAGTAACCCAAAACAAACCCCAGGTGAAAGCACACATAGGAGAGCTTTGCAGGACACCACAAGCACATTTTCATAGCATTTTCTGTTACATCCCATTGTCATTTACAGCGATTTGTTACTGTTTCTATACACCACCACTTTCTTCAGGCATAAAGTTTCTTCTGAGCTATCCATAGCACTATGTAAACTATTTCTTCTTGCAAGGCTGAAACTAGTAAGAAATCTACCTATGGGTATTCCGCTGTTCTTTTACATGAATATCACACTTGTAATTGATTAAAAATTTAAACCACATTCCTGGTGCTACTGTGAAGTTACACTTCAGGTCCAAAGATTTATTATTACGCTGAGAAAAATCAACATATTTTGAATGACAGGGTTGTTCCAAAAATAAGAATAAAATAAAAATAAAGCAGCAACTGGCATTTCCTTTTCAGTATATGTGCCATTATTAGATATGCTGCATATTAGATATGCTGCTACATATCACAGCCTTATACTCACAGAGAAATATGCATTTTTTATAATACACAGACCTATCAAGCTAGTACTTGTATTCCATAAGACAGATTATGGGGCAGCACAGACATACAAAACCCAGCTCCTCAGAAGCCATTCTAACACTCCAGGATGTCCTGACCAGCTAGATACTTTATGTCTTTCAAGTGTATGATTAAACATGCCACCAAAACCCAACCACAGCTTTAGTGGCCTCACTTAAAATGAAGTCTTACAGAGAATTAAAATTCTTATACATTCATCTTGGTATGATGTAAGAGTATTGCTGCTAGAGGCCATGTCCTCTGAGGTATTGAGCACTGCCTGAGGAGTCTAAGAGTTCTTGTCTTTCATCTGGGTATATGAATATTCCATGTTATGCCAAGGTCAAAAGCCAGGATTGAAGCACTAACCCGGTTTACATTTTAATACTTAAAAGCGCCACTCGTGATTTGGCTCTCCTCACTCAGAGTTACAAAATCCACTACTTCCTTGCAAAAGCGTGGCTCAGGCTAGCTTGAAGACCCTTGTGCTACAAATCTTTTTCTTCCTGCTATGTGTATTTACCCTTCGACAGCACCTAGCTCTTACCCTCATCTGCCACTCCACTAGCTGTCAAATGACTGTTCAAGCATTAAAAAAAATGAAGGGTCTGTTAAATTGTAAATTAAGTGACAGTCTATAGCTGAAAATTAGCAATAACATGCCCAAATCTTTATTGATTGCTAAGAAAAGGTGAATAGCCCTCCCTACTGTAATTACTGTGTAAATGCTGTGTAATTACTGACCTTTAGAACCGAGAGCAATTAATTTAAGAACAGATAGCACTGAACTAGCAAATGACTTATTTTGCAACAGGACAGTAAAGGCGCCTATCAAGTTTTCGTATGTGTTCAGTGCCACCTTGAATAGTATGGTTACATACCTTTGTTTTCCATTTTAATGCAGAATATAACCCAAGCTACAGCTGGACATAAAATGCCTGTCAACTAGTTCAGAAGATCAGTGGAAATGTACCTTCAAATACTGTGACTTTTCAGTATATTTTAAGAACTCCCTATCTTTACAAAAAGGCTCTAAATTGCTGTTAGATGCAAGAATACTGTATTGCCAAGCTCTGCCACTATGATGCATGTACTGCAAATGTTTCATCTGTACTCTGAAAGACGGAGGTGGAAATGGCCAGTAGCAGGAGAATAACAGGTAGTAATCTGACATCAGTCAAGTTCCTTTACATGTAGGAGACACACACACAAACCCCCCTGCCTCTGCTAGTACTGAGTTTAACTTGTTAGACTCTTGCAGAATTCATGAAAATAGCAGCGTAAAGACTATTAATATAAATGCTTCGGCAATATTTAATTTGTTTCTTTTTATTCTTCATAACAAGCACTTACTGTCATGGGGAGATTGTGGCCTTTTGACAAAACAAACTACATTTTAACAGCATTGGCCAGGTGGTGGAGTTTCCAGTCAGAAAACTTTAAAAAGCTATATTAGGTGGAAGTAATGAAAGAAACAGGTATCTGACCTGGTGCAGATGTCCTTCCATGAAGAGCAGTGTCATTAGGCAGGAGATCTTTTGAGTTGGAGGTGAACGGTGATTGTCTAAATGCGTCTTCAGAAAAGAATGGGCTACAGGAAAAAATAAGACGTCTTTTTGTACACAAAATAGCAGTTAACAGAAGGAGTAAATACAATTTTTGACCTTAACATCTTATATTATAACAAATACCACCTTGTTAAAAGCCCTGTTTCATTTACAGAATTCATGCTGAAAGTTATGCACACTGTGAGGAAAGGTGGGGAGAAGAGGTACGCCTTGGTAAGACTGCATCTCAGAGTGAAAACTGAAGTTGTCCCAAAAGGCTTTTACCTACAGTTCAACATCTTAGATTGGCAGTATCACAATACAATCTGGATCATTAAAATGAATCCTTCAAAAATTTGTATTCTACTGTTGTATCTGGAGATGAAAATCAGGAAAGATGGAAAATATTATTATTTAATAATACAGTATAGAGTATTTTTTAAAATGAAACGTTTCAAATGTGAGCTTAAGATGCTGAATAATTCTTTTGACATGTCATTCCGTGAATGAAATGAACTCCATGAGTTTGATTTTTAAAGCAGGAAACAATTCACATAAGCTAACTGAAGAGTATTAAGTGCAAAACTTATCAGCTACTTGACTCCAAAAAGTTTTTTTTTTTAATTTTGATTTTAATTAACAGGAAGTAAAAAGTCAATTTCAATGATGAGTTGGCATTTCTGTCAGTTTTCTGTTTTGTGCTCAGTTAAAGATCCTAACAGAAACAAGAATTCCTTGTTACAGTACAGGCAGACATCAGTAAGAGATATATCAAAAAGTTCAAAACGGAAAAGGACATTCTTTCTTGGAAAACTGCTTACTAAGGCAGTGTATTTCATCTGCATGCAAACTATCAGTTTCTTCTAAGCAAAAAGAATTACATTAAACATCACCTCTCTTATACTGAGAATCCTTAACAAGCTGCTCTATAGTAGGTTATTTTAAAGGTGCAGGACAGGCCAGCTTGTTTCTGTGACCTGTTCTTATCCAAGAACCTTTTCGGGATAAAGCATGTACTAAGAGGTCTTACAAAGCACTGCACAGTGGATAGTCCAGATTCAGAAAGTACATGCCACCAGCACCAACCAAGTTGACCCTACCAGTCCAGATACTCAAGGTGTCAACCTAAACAATGACACTTGCATAAGTTTTCCCTCTTAGAGTTTTTCGGCAGGGGGTGAAGAAGATGTTCCCCACTGAGCCACTTGTATTCTGTCAGATCTCTTCTGCCTTTGGGAAACTTGTTGATAATTAGTTAACATGATCATGTAAGACTTGTCAATCATGTCCTTTGCTTTCCTGTTAAGTTTTGTGGCCATTATTCATTTTGTGCTGTTCCATATGTGACAGTTAGTGGGATATTTTGGTATTTCTACAAAAAGTTGAACATAACTATAAACACAGTGAGCGTTAGGTTGTGCTGCAGATGAAGTCTCAAAGCTGCCCCCAACCTGAACAGTTCAGTGTTTGCAGACAGCTGAACAATGCATACTACTTAAGAAAGCAAGTCATCATGATAAAGCAAACCAGCTCCAGCCCACATGTACAAAACTTAACTTTTTCCAAGACTTACGCTCCTGCTCAGGGGTGACATAAGACAGACTGAAGCTGTATAAAAATATGGCATCATTTGTTGCAACAATCCTCTCACTGCTTTAATAATGACTTGAAATAAAAACACCAATAGAAAAAAGTTTTATTCCTGTTGTAACTCTTCAAAATCTTGCAATCTTCTCAGGTTTCCATGTTGACCTTCCTGCTTCTGCCCTAGATTTAGTCACTGGGACACTGCTCATTGCTGGTTCTAAGCAAAATGGATGATGCAGAGCTTACCTATTTCAAGGTTAGGCCATATACCATGAACAGGCTGCTGCTGAAGACTGCATCTTGATGTGTCCTAAGGGTTTCCCTCTCTGTTATTGGTCCCTGGTGAATTACAGAACCATCCTTGGATACCTCTTTTCTGCCTTTCTCTAGAATGGCAGCTGAGCCTCTTCAGTGTTGGTCCTATTATTACTTTAATTACAGCAGATATGTCCTCCAATTCCCAGTGCAAAGTATGGAGGGAGGAGCTCCTGCTTCATAGTAAAACATGACATAGATTGTTCTCAGTATGCAAAGTCCCTTCAGATGAAGATCAAGCTTTAGGATTTTTTTTCTGGCTGCACTTTTCCAGTTTTATGGCTACACAGTTCTCTAGATGAAAGCAACTTATCTTGGCATCTTATGCTGGCATATTCACTTCAAGATCATTTGCTTCTACACTTTCTGTCTTCTTATCACAGACGGCAGGCTCTACCATCTCTCTCAGCCATTGAACTGTGAGAAATCCTTGCCAGTTTCAGCTGCTTAAGCAAAGTCATATGCTCACAAAGTCCAGAAACACTCACAGGAGGAATAGCAACAGATAGGCGACAGTTAGAAACGTTAATATGGAGTAAGACAGCAAAAACTGCTTGGGTATCTTATCTTGCTGAGCTTTGCTGATTTAAGACTCGCCAGCAACACAGCTTAATCTTTCTTCTCCCCAGATGCACACAGGTGGATAACACTGACCTCACCTTGGCTCTCTGCAGCTGTCAGGTTGTGAGTCAACAACTGTGCTTCAAATGCCTTTCTGTCATTATTCCAGATGCAGGCTGTGAGCCAAACTGCACCACATTTTCTTGGTGCAGTCTGCGTGCCTCTATCCTCCACTGGCTGCTCCATCACATTCTATTTTTGAGAAGGCGTCATACCCTTACCAATAAAGACTTCCAGCTGTTTGGTTGGTTTTGGATGGGTTTTTTTTTGCAGTCTTTCAAGTCAATCTGTTTGAATTGATAGGATTTAGTACACTGATTCACTTCCCCTTAAGAAGCTCTTCTCATTCACATCTTCTTCTGTTGACAGGTAAGATAAGAAAAGCACCCAGAAGAACTGAACCAGGCACCTGGTATTTCATGCTCTGATGGCTTAGCAACCATTACCAGGACTTCTCAGTAAAACTCAGTGCAAGTTTGACAAGAGCCAACTGTGCTACCCTCTGAATAGTTGGCAGCCAGAAGAAGGGGGAGTTATCTTTGAACTGTCCTCAACCTTTTCAGTTTTAATTACCTTTGATAGATCCAAAAGTAGCTCTGGATTCTCACACTGGTCCTGCTGGTAGTGTCATGAGATACTGAAATCTATTTTCAACTATTTGTCACCCCCTCCCTGCAGTGCACACTGGATGGTTAATGAGTAGCTGGAGAACATATGCATTTATCTCCATATGTATCTCTCAGACTTACGCTTTTTAAGTACTCACAGGAAGGCTTTGCAGGCTTTATATCCCACAATTTCCCAAACGAGCAAACATGGGAAGCATTCACAGTAGCCAGAAGTTAAAAGCTCAATTTAATTATCTTTCAACTTGTAACATCAAAAAGTCCCTAATGTACATTTACTGAGCTGGTCAGTTTATAAAAACTAATTATTTATTTATTGCAGTTACCATGAAATGAATGGGATAGACCTAGGAATTTAAGAACACTGCAGAGATCATTCCTTCTGCAACTGAAATGCTTTTCAATTTCTACCTGGACAAAGTTGTCTTAGCAGTGAACATACTGGGAACTTCTGTAGAAGGGGCTGCAGAGGCAGAGAAAGTCTTACTCTGTCTTTGAAGGAACTCGTCGCTTCAGTGTGCTCAGCCTCCAACCCATCCACACTGATTAGTGAACTTTTGGGTAGGAAAGAATACTTTCCTACTTTCAGGTAGGAATCCTTCCAATTCCTGACTACTCACACCATGGGCTCCTAAATATTTATCAGTTCTAGCTACCACTTATTACATAAGAGCTTTGAATTTTCCCATAGGGACACCTTACTTTGCTGCTCATGTATATATAAGCAACACATGAGCTTGTTCCTGGCAACAATACTGTAAAGTGCATACTTCTTTTACAGCACATGCTGTAAATGGATCATGTTTTTAATTCCCAGGTAATTTCATTCATCATATTAACGTGACTGTAATCTGTAACAAATGTTTCAGTAGCGCTGTCTTACAGTCTGACTGTTAAAAACTCATCTCTGAAAGGCATTGAGATGATAGAAATACTAAAATGAAATTTTATTACAGAAAGCAAGTTTGACAGAAGACTGAATCAAAATCACCTCTTTTTACACTGGCCCATGTCTTAAAACCCAGTTGTCAGTCTGCTCATCCCTCGAGCACTGCATGTACTATGCAGTTTCTTTTAAGTTTCAGTTTTTGTAGGAAAAAAAATAAATAAAAGAAAAAGAATTCTTAAAATGATGTGTGAATACTTCATCAGAGAACAGTCATTTGGGTCCAAAGGCCTTTTTTCCCATGAACTCTAAGCAATCAGATCCATAAGTGTAATTTTCCAGATAGAAGTTACATGACTCATGAAAACAACTTACATTTGTAACATCAGGTAGCATTTGCAGGTGACAGACACATTTGAGTTCACATGGCAAAACAAAGCAATGCCATTTACACTATAGCTTTGTAGATAACAATGGACTGCACTTACCTGGTTGTAGTTCTGATGGTGTTATCTTTATTGTGGTTGTGCTCTTTGCTCACCTTTTCTGCAGAGGAACATACATGGCAGTTTGTGATTAGCATATATTGCATTTTCCCTATCAGGTTTTATTCAACATAGCTATATTAACGCTTTCTGATAACAGCATAACCCACAGTAAATTGGGGTAAACTGTTAAGGCATGATTAGAGAATAGGCATAACTTTATTTAAACTAATAACAGCAAATTTTTTTCAGCTTCACAATTTGGTGTTAGTGCTTCATGCAAAATATGCAATACAAGCATTCATTAAACACAGCGCTGATATCATTGCCTTTATGTAATAGCTGAGGTTCACTTTCTTCGTTAAGAGAAATGGACAGTGCAGCCCCAGGAACACTGCAGCCGCTGGTGCCTATGCCAGCAGCTGCCATCTATAGGCTCTCCTATACTCCAAGGCCTGGATCAAGCAGTTGTCACTAAATTATTTAATTAGCTTTCAAAAATACAGGAGTTGAACTCTGGCTTTTCTAATTCAGTTCAGATACTGTGAACCTGACCTGTCACAGTGCTGTAGAGCATATGCTAACTATGGGGGACATTTGGCAAGGCTGTTGCATTTCTAATGTGAGGGTAGAAGGGCTCTAATTCCTATTATTTTTCAGCCATAGCAATCTCACACTTTGATAGCACCTTAATGGTTATATGCAATCTCTTTTTAATGTTTAAGTTCAACTTTCTACTTTCTCCACTGCTTTTACCTGATAACTGGAAGAGCAGCTCGGATGCCATCTTCACTGATATATCTTGGCTGAACAGATTTCTTTCTGGCAGCACACGGCCTTCTGGTGCCTTCTGTATGTGTTCACTAATGTCTCTCCCTAATAAAGTGCTGTAGCCAACATTTTGGCTGGGTTGGCTGGGTGACACTGAAGCCTGCGAATCATGAATGTCAACTTCCATTGGTTCTTCCTTTATCTTTACCATCTGGGTTTCCTTGTAACTCTCAGCTGCAAATTTGTATGTAAAAAAAATAAACAACCACCACAATTTTTTAATTAGGCGACAATTTTTCAGAGTACTCAAAGCAGGAATCACAGTTACAACATTATAATTTTTATACGGTAGCACTGCAAATGGTAAGGGCAGCAAGCAGCTGACTGCCACAGTATTCTTTGGGGGTTATAAATAGAAGCAATCTCTTGAAAATAATTTTTCAAACTAGAGAGCAGGAAACAGTTGCATATTTGTAAATATGAGAGTTATGTCACTTTCTATGAATACTGGGTGTTCATACACCACTTACAGAAGCTTTGTTTTTATTTATTAAATCAAGGTGCAACTACACCAGCTCTCCAAAGGTGGGCACTGAAGACCTCTTACAAACTCTAAATCACTCATCTGCTCCTCTTTTGCTCTCTCTCTCTTTTATGGAAAATTCCAGACAACTGTGTAAGGAACCGGTTTGTTATATCTGCATATGCTTTCAAGGTGAGAGAATTATTCTGGGGCCCACGCTTTTCTGAAGTCTAATTTTGTAACAAGCCTATATATTCCCTTATACATTATGAGATCCGGTAACCTCAATGAGCAGTTTCTGTAAGCCCATATCCTTCCCTCCCTGTCTTCCTCTCTGGTGTCCTAGGCCTAGCAAACAAAACCATAGTCTAGAAGACAGTCTGTAGCTCACTTTCTATGCCTGAGATTCCTCAGATGTTGCTGAATGCTCTGGTTTAGCTGCAAGGCAAGTGATCATTTTTAATTCAGAATAAAACTTCTGAAATCTCAAAATCAGGTTTCCAAGATCGTTTGCCTTCAACACCCCAAACACCTAAACAGCCCTTTTAATCCAGACTTTCCACTGTTGGTGTGAAAGTTTCAAACACCACCAGAACTTTTGTTTCCAATTACCCAACATTACGATGAACCTTAGCACCAAAACACAGTTTGGTCGTCCCTGACAACTAGCTAGTCAGCCTGTTGGTGCCATCTTGTAGTCTTTAGCCAAAACCCTTTAGCACAAAGGCATATGCATTTCACCTAAATGTAAACTGGTGTGTGTCACCAAGTCCTTTTTCATTCCCCTGGTTTTTCCCTCTCCCCATCTTCCTGTTGTTCTTGAGTGGAGGGAAAAAAAAAATTGAAGGCAGGAGATAAAAGGCACTTGGATGTGTTCCAGGGACAATTTACATGAAGTGCTTTCAGTCTTTCCTTGTGACATTTTTAATCCTTAAACATATAAACAAATTATAAAAAACTTTACCATCTATGATTCACCAGATGCATTTCAGACTTCAGGTATCTTCATAAAGAATCCTAAACTGAAGTCAAGTTAGAAATACAATATAATTCCTTTTTTCTCCTGGTAAGCAGATTTTTCTTCCCCCCCCTTTTTTTTTAAATTTATTTTTATTTAAAGCTTCCATTAGCCTCTTATTATAAAACCACAGAACACTGCATCTGTGTTTGAAAGCGTAAAAATAGCATGCTGTGCATTGAAAGTGAACACAGAACACCAAAGGAACGCATCAGGTAACACTGTCAATCAAAAGCTCAGGTAACTCCACAAACAAATGAGTTCTTCAGATGTCTGACAGACCGAGCTCTGCACCCAGCTGCCAAATTTAGGTGCAGAGTCAAGCTGACCTTTGCTGCTCTCTCTGCTTTTAAAATATTCTTTCTATTTCTGTTCTTGCTCCACAGTTTAATTCCCAGTCCTGCAAATGCTTTTGTATCAGACAAACGGATCTGACCCCAACTAAGGCAAGAGTCAAGCAATACTGATGACCTTCTCCCCCTTATAATCAGCTAGCACTCCAACTGCCCTAACTAAATTTACATATTTGATCATTTCCTTTGACCTTTATCTTCCCAGCTGTGCCCTTTTGATCTGACAGAATGTCCCTTCCAAAGATGAATCCTGTCATACCCTGATTCCCAAAAGCAAACACACAGAGAAGACTGAAGGAGGGTATTTATGATAACTTGACAAGAGCTAATGAAGGGGAAACACAGTCAGTCTGTCCCATGAGCAGCAATCAGAGGCATACAATCCAGCTGTACTAGATTTTGTGCTGGCAAAAGACTGTAATTAAGGTTATGCTCATACCCATCTCACCACACAGGCACAGTTAAACTGTAAATTCTTGAAGATTATTTTCCCTTCTGTGCTACAGACAGTGGAATACATTTGTGGAGTAAGGTGATACCCCTTATTTCCTTACTTAGGTATCTCACATGGTCATAGCACAGCTAAAGTTTTTCAAGCCAAGGGCTGGTACACCGACAGGTCTCCTGGTTCAAATAATTAAAATCATGATAGCTTTGGCTTCTTTCCACTTTTACATTTCTCATTGAATAAGTGGGCTAGGTTAAAGAAACTGCAATGTATCAGAATAAAATGTTAGCATGGAAGAGTAATTTTCTTCATGTCAGATTTTTATGAAAGTACAGATATCTAATTCCTAGCAAAAAGCAGCATGGGATAAAGACTTAAGCAGCTCTGAAGTATCCAGACTGTTATCTCCTAAACATGGTCTGCTATTTATTCAAAACTAACCTGGATGAAGCTCAGACAACAGCAAGGCACTGAACACAGCTCATCTGGCAGAAAATAAACTAAATCTCCTAATGTGTGTTTTTCTGCTGTTAACTTTGTGAAACAGAAAGAGCTTAACAAAACGAGACAAAATGACTGCATACATGGACATACTATCGAGCCACAGAGATGCTGTTTCTTTACAGAGCAGTATGACTTTTAATCAGCTGGTCTATAGAAGCCTCAATGAACTTCATCATGTTCACATTGACTGAGACAATTTTCCGCATCAGATATGAAAAACGCAATACTGGACAGGCTTGTTCCAGGAAGAAAGTAATTTCTTCCACAGCTTTCAGGTTCTCTGGCATTCAAAAGTGCAAGGAATTGCAAAGTAGTGTCACTTGCTAAAAAAACCAAACAAAACAGAAACACAGAAGGATATTTGTATGATCCAAAAGCTCAGGGTACAGCATTCACTCCTGGTGGCCTGACACTGCTACCTGAAGAAGGTGTAGCAATAAGAGCATCTCTGAAATTTAGTGTTAACAATGCTTCTCTGCAGGCTAGGACAGAGACTGACACGTTTTAGAAAGAGCTTAGTCAAGCTGTGTCTCAGAAAGTTGGGACTACCACAACTGAATGCAAGTTGTGCACAAGTCTGCAATGTGCCCCTGTGGCAACCAAGGCCAACCATGTTTTGGGCTGTATTATCAAAGCTGTACCCACCAGGAGAAGAGTCTTACCCTCTATTCTGCACTTATGAGATTGTTTTTAGAACTGTTCCTCATTTGGGGCTCACCAGTACAGGTGACATCTTGGGACACTGACATCCTGGGGCATGTTCAGTGGAAGGCTACCAATACAGTCAGGGGACTGCTGCAAGACATCAGAGGAGAACAGCTAAGAGAAACAGGTTTGTTCAGTTGCTCATATTTGCTGAAATGCCCATCAGCTTTACAAATCAACTTTATGAATCAACTTGGACAAGAAAGCCTTTCCCATATGTCTCATAAATTGGACTCATGTACTAGTTTTCACAATCAAGCAGACAGGGGTAACTAGTGGGTCAACTTGTACTGACTTCAAAAGCTTTCAGTATGAAGACTCAGGCATTTTGTTATGCTAATTGTTCTGATTTGCTAGAAATAAACATGCCCTAAAACAGCTTAAATAAAACCTCAGAGGTAGAGAACAGTTGGTGAGCCCTGAAGGTTCTGTTAGAGACACAACAAGTAACATCTGACGTTCCCTAGGGCGCTGTGCTTGATGCTTTATTTTGTTAGTTTGTTTTTTTTATTTTCTCAAACTGCTGTTTTATGTAAGACAATGTCAATGGGCTTTGAATCAATGTAACGGGGTCTTGCTTTTTAAAAAAAAAACATTAAATGGATCATATTTGTTAAAGTGGAACCCCTGAATTTTGTGACTGTGGGGTAGTTTCACAAAAATGCAAGCCAACAACAGGAAAAAAGAAGCAAATTAAAGCAGTAAGCTAATTTGAGTTGTGACACTCAACTGCTGCTCCTTCAATTAAATGGTAGGATTATGGCGGTTACCTACGTGCAAAACACCAGCAACCCCTCAAAACATAGATTAAGAAGCATTTGATAAAAAGTCTACATACGCAGTAAGTAGTTATTTTATGACATATTCCTATCTATCCCAGTTCAAGAAAATCCCAGTCTAGCATTTCTGCATCAAGCTGTACAGAGAGCCTGGCTCCATGTCTCCTGTCTTTACAAGCTGACTCTTCAAAGGCAAGGGGTCTGAAGAGGCCCTTCTGCAAATACTGTGCATCTATAATCCCTTGACACTTTGCCCACTTTCCATAGCTTTGAGGCCACTCCCACCTGGCTGAACATCATCGAGAAATATCAGTAAAACAAAGGACTGGGGAGGGAGGAAGAGGTGGTGGTGTTTAAACTCTTCAATGACTATTCCTGAAAAAATAAAATAAATAGAATAAAAATAAATCCAGAACATCAAAAGTACATCTGAACCACGGACGTCACGATTTCTTATTCTGCCAAATTATCTGATCTTTTAAATTTACATGGTTTTCATTAAATGTCGAGATTACCCTCATGCAGAAAAAAAGATGATGAACTGCAGTAACTTAGAGGTATTGTATAGCATCTACTATACTGTAGTATATACAGTAGCATCTACTGTAATAAAAGCTAGGCTGTTTTAGGAGGTACTTGGTTTTCTGTGATTTTTGTGATTTTGTGGTTTGTTTTTTTGAGGTATACAGGAGGAAAAAAACCTGACATTGCAGACTTCCATTCTTTCCACCCTATACTTCTCCTGTGAATGGGCAGTATTTTTTCACTTTTCCTCCCTTTTGGATTTAGACATTAATGTTGCAATGAAACACGGCAAACCCCATCAACAGGTAAGAATCCATTGCTAGTTGAGTTCTTCTGGGATTATGTTATGCATATGTCATGGAAAAGCTTATTAAATGTA